CAGAGGCTCGGCAGCCCCCGCCACCCAGAGGCTCGGCAGCCCCCGCCGGAGATGTCTGGGGCGCGGGAGAAGAAGCGGGCCAAGAAGATGAGGAACCAGCCGGCCAGCGTGACGCTTCCGGCAGAGCCGGGGCCCTTCGCCGGCGGCGGGAGCAGAGCCTGCCCGCCCCCAGGTACGGCCGGCCGGGTGTCCCCGTCCCCTCAGTCCCTGTGTGCCCGCCATGGGAGTACCCAAGGCTTCGTCCCCTGCTATAGGCTCCTTTAGTCCTGGTGCTGCCGTAAATCCCGTTAGTACAGGATTCTCGTTAATATGGGAGAATCGTGGAGTCTCCATCTCCAGAGTAATTCCAAATCCACCTGGGCGCGTTCCTGTGTATCCTGCTCTGGGTGATCCTGCCTTGACGGAGGTGGGAGGTTGGATCGGGTGATCTCCAGAGGTCCTTTCCGACCCTGACAATTCTGGGAATATGCGCTTCTCTGTATCATCCATTCGATTACACAACAAATCCCTGTGGTTCCTAGTCTTGAAATGAATTTGGATATTATATTTCATCCAGCGGCCCCCCTCTTTTTCTGTCAGACCTCGGAGCTGCAGGAGGGGCTGGTTTAGCCTTCTGGCGCTGTGATGAATGCACTGATTTTCCCTCAGATCAGCATGCCCGACCAGTTTGCCTCTTGGGACTTGTGGCTCCTATATCTGTGCAAGGGTATTGGCAGGAGGCAGCAGGACCTGTCCCTAAAATGGCAGTGTCGCTGGGTCATTGCTGGAGCATTCTGTACACAGGTACTTTGCAGCTGAAGACTGAAGGATCCTGCCAGCTTGTATACCACATGATTTTTTCATCTGTCTTTTGACCTGCATCTTGTATGCTTCAGTTGGACCTCACACACCCTCCCATTTAGATATATTGTTACCTAAAAACACATGAAAGGGCTTGTTACTGTGAGGTTTTCAAAAGATGACAAATTGCATCTTTGTGGTTGAACAAAAACATGCTAAAGTGTCACAGTGTATTTAGGTGACTGAAGAGTTCCTAAGCAGACAGAATGACATAGCAAATTATGCTCAGTCATGTCTGAAGATTTTGGAATATCATTACAGCAGTACTGCCAGATTAAACACATTTTTCTAACTTTATTTGTAGCAGGGAACTTCTAAGATTACATGGTTATGCTTTTCTGTTCTATTAAATAGAGTGGATTTTCATCCATGTGACATTCTTCTATAGTGTTAATATCTCAGTTTTACAGGACTATTTTGTAGAAACAGGAAAGAAAAATTCTAGATAGGAGTTATAAAACTATGGATATCCATAGAAGCTGAAATAATTTAAATTTTATTTAGGTGTTAAGTCATTCACTGCTTTTTGAAACACTCTTCCATCTTCTGATTAAAATTTTTAGTTCCTCCATTGAAAAGGTGTGCTTGTGATATGAGTTAATTTTGGGCTGTAAGGCTACACAGATTTGCTGACTGAGGCAGCTTCCATTCCTCTTTCCCAACTATTTCCTTCTCACCTTCACCTCAGTGCCTGGACAGTGCTGCTCTCAGCCACATGGAAAACCCAGGTCAAGGACTTGTTCTACATAAAAGCTGATTTCTGTTTTCCACACTAAATTACTTTTTTAGCTGTTCTACTGCGGTTCTGCATGATGTGTGGTTGCAGCAGGCTGTAACAGCATTGCTACTGAACATAAAACTTCAACATCTTGCTTATTTGAAATGGAAAAAGAAGGTTCTTTGCCATTTTTAGTTCACATAAATTGATGCTGCTGGAGGTGAATCTGCTCCTGGCTGTTCTTTGTGCCAATGGTAGCATTTTTGGGATGAAAGGACAGGCTTGTCTCACCCCATTTCTCTGCACATACAGATTGATTTTTCACTAGAGAAGTCCCTGAATTGTATGGCCCCATGTTCTCTCAAGCACTCATCTTGATGAAGTGGGTGGGGTGGTGGGAATGGCTGTCTGGACCCTTTTTAGTTGGGTTTTCAGCTTGAACAGCCTGAGAACCATATCTCAAGCTATACTAGAAATCCTAACCAAGACTTAACTGAATATAAAGCAATCTAAAGTAATATATAATGTTAGTTAGGGTGAATATACACTAATCATTGAGTATGGACTTCATGGCCCTCTTCAACTTTAAGTACTGCTAAGTGCTCTTGTTATATAGTGCCCGACAAGAATACATTTGCTTATAGGAAAAAAAAGGGGGAAGAAGAAAAAAAACTGCTGGTTTGATACTAAATCCTAACTAGACAATAATAAAAATCACTACTGATGTTGCATGGACTGATTTCAGTCAGGCTCTTGGAGGCAAAGTCTAGATTGGGTACCATTTTCAGAATGTGCAAAAGTTACTTAATCTACTGTAGGCTTGCTGCAGGACAGTGTAAAATTCTTATTTATTCCTATAAGAAAGAACTTAATTCTTCTGATTTCTTATGGCTTTTTCAGTTACATATATTAAGTATAATAGGAGGAATCTGCAATGCAGTTTCATGAGGAAAGACTGCAGAGTTATTAGTTACTCAGACTGCTTTGCATTTCTCTAACCTCTTTTCATCTCTAAACCTTCCAGGAGATGTTCGTTCTGAGCAGCAGCATCAGCAGCAGAAATTTTCAAATCAGTCAGCTGGGCCTTCTTACAGAAAAGACCAGTATTTTTCAAAAGGGCAAAGTAGAGGAGAGAGAGCCAGAGGAAGAGGAGGATGGCAAGGAGGATGCCAGAGTGTTTCTGAGGAAATGCCGAAATACATAACGGGTTTGTATATATGAAAAGGTCATAATTTTATGTCCAGGACAATTTTGCTGGTGATTAAGTTTGCTGTCTGTCTTTGTTTTTGTGCAAGAGCAAAAATTAGAACTGATGCTATGTTCTTCTGTTTTTCCTGATTTTCTCCAAAACACAGAAGTAGTTGTGAACTGGAATGAATGACCAGCTGTTGTTCAATGGGTCCTTTCGGACTTCTGAGTTGAAAAGTTGCACCTGCTTGTAGTGAGGGATATGCATTTTGGTTTCTGTTTGCCAGCAAAATGAGTACCGACAGTCATCTGCTTTTAATGTAGCCAGTGAAACTGATTTTACCCATGATGTAAGTTAAAGACAGCTTTTTATCTAACAGAACGTTTATTTAGGAGAGCAGATCAGCTTTGCAAAATGCGGCAGTGCTCTGATAGTGGATAGACCTCCATAAGCATAAAACAAGACCAAGTTCTGGATTTTTATTTGATCATTTTAAAACAGTCTGTAATGTGATTACTGCTTCCTTTTTTTTTCCATGCTGAAATTCTTTCCATCTCTCTGAATATCATCTGAAAAGATTGCTATTTTAATTTAACAAAAAACTGTTTAATGCAAATAGGACTTGTTGGCTATACCACAGCTTTCAGATTCATTCACATATAAATATTTGCTTGAACATATCTGTAAGCTTCAGGATATCTAAAGAATTGAAATTTCCTCAGTAATAGTGTGCAGTACTTACTTTTATGTCAAGAAAGTATTGAACTGATATACTAGGAGTAATTCCATAATTTATGTACAGTATCCTTCTCTTTGTTTTTTGATGTTTGTCATGCTCTGATGCAGTCCTTTTCATTCCAGTGTCTACCTTTGCTCAAGCTCGTGCTGCTGAAATCAATGCCATGTTGAAAGCGGTTTCGCAGAAGTCTTCAAACTCTCTGGTTTTCCAGACTCTCCCCAGACACATGCGAAGGCGAGCAATGAGTCACAATATTAAACGCCTGCCCAGGCGGCTCCAAGAGATGGCCAGGAAAGAGGTATAAGTGCATTTTACAGCATTTGATATACTGGGCACAGCTAATGCACAGTGTTCAGCTGTACATTTATTAATATTAAGACCTGAAATTATCTGCAAAACTTCCCTGGGTACCCTAAAGTTTGAGTGACATTTGGATGCAAAATGCAGGAACTCCTCAGTTTTAGGTGTTTGCTCAAGTAGGTCTCATTAACCACTTGGCTTTGTGATTGCTGGACATCTTGAAAAGTTGTTAGAGCAGTGTTAAAAGGGTCCACTGCGGGAGTGTTTGTTCAGGCCGTGCACTGGTCTCAGGTGGTCCAAGAGTCCACAGTAAGACTTATCTGCCTTGCACCACCACAGTTGTAGAGTGTGACCCTGCTGGCTCAAACCAGCATGGCTGATGGACAGTTCACGTGTTATAGCTCTAATGTGGGAGGTACACTGGGGTTATTGGCAGGCTGCATGCAGCTTAAGACTTACTTATTGACTATTCCTAGTAGCTTATGAAACTGATTTTGTGTCAGTATGTCAGCATTTAGTCAGAATATGCCTATGCACTTGCTCCTTACCCCCTGTGGCTTTCATGTGTGTTTAAAAAAAAATTAAAAAATTGTTTTGGCAGGATTTTATTGGAAATTATCTTTCTGATGTTTGGCACTGATCACTTTATCATCTCTAGAGACTCATTAAAGTGATTGAGTTTGCTTGGTAAATTTTCTATGTATTAAGGTTGACGAATAAATGTATTTATTGCATTCTTTTTTTTCCATTGCATTGTCTTTCTTAAGTTCTTTGAGACCTTACTGCCTCCATCCTCAGTTCCTGAAGATAATTGTTAGTAGTTCATAAATTGCTTTGGGTACTTCCTTGCTGCACACCAACTACATGTTTCTTAGGATCCAGTAACTACATGTTATTGGATCTTCATAACCCATAACTCTTATTTTACTATCTTGGTTAGCATTCT